TTTTATTATAACGATTTAAAGATTTGTATATTTTTATAGCTTATATTATTTTTAGGTTACAATTCTTTTATAATTATTATTATTTTTTTATATATTTTATCAATTATTTTATACGTTTTAGTGATTAATGCATTGTTAAATGTTACACATTTAAAACATGTACCTGACTCACTAATCACTGTTTTTGATCTTGGCTAAATGTAATGCAATTACAAAGTATTTTGATTAATGTGACATAAAATGTATGTATAGTGAGGCCATGCTTTGATTATTCTTCAGCTATGCCTTCTCTGTGCACCACATTCTCCATCTTTTAATGGTCAGACGCACTCTCTCTGAGCAAACCACTGGCACTTAGGGAAAGTTGGATGGAATGTGCTACAGGCCAATAGCAGCGAGACCTTCATCTGAATCTTAAATGGATGGGTCAAATGTGTGAAAGAAAGCTAATGGAATTATTAATTTAATGGAGCCAATAGTAGAGCAATCGAAAAATTGTGCAACTCAGTCCACGTGAAGCCCAACACCATGAAGACAAAGAGAGCAGTGAAGAAAACCTGTCTCACATTTTATTAAAAAGTCTGTATTCAAACATTGTTAAAACTTAATTACATGTCTCACATTTTATTAAAAAGTCTGTATTCAAACATTGTTAAAACTTAATTACATGTCTCACATTTTATTAAAAAGTCTGTATTCAAACATTGTTAAAACCTGAATTACATGTCAGCTGTTCTGGTACAAACATTCGTTTAAGATAAGAAGAGTTTACGGCATCATGCTCTGAAGTAAACAAGAGCTCTGTGGCCTCGGAGTCAGACAGAGGGAATCAGAAACGTGACTTCAGTGACGTTTGTGTGTTATTACTGTAGCTAAAGAGGTGACTCATGACCACATAATGACATTGTTGTGCCCCTTGGCTAGTTTACAGAGATGCAAAGAAGACGTAAAATTGCTATTTTTTGCTATTGCTAATTTTTCATTGTGCTCATGCTCAATGCATTTCAGCTGAAGCACCATGAATAAGAGAAAGAGAGAGCAATAAGGAAAATTTACATTTTACTAAATGTAAAATGTCTTTTAGATTCCGTCAAACCACATTACTCACTCGCTTGTGTGCTTTTTTCGCTCTTCTCCTTTTCTGCTGTATCTATAGGCTTAAATCAAACAATCTAATGCCATACATTAAATACAACATTGTTGTGTGAATATAAAACAAACTATGTATATATACAGTGGGTACGGAAAGTATTCAGACCCCCTGTACATTAATGAGGAAAAAAAATTAACTTAAATGATTTTAGCAAATGGCTGCAATATAACAAAGAGTGAAAAATTTAAGGGGGTCTGAATACTTTCCGTACCCACTGTATATATATATATATATATATAGTGCAGAACAGAAATATCTGGCTATTTAATGAACTAGCTTGCATTCTGTTTCTTTTTGAATAAATGTTGTCATGATCCCAGAGGAGGATCCCATAAAGCTCTTTGGTTTGACCCTCTCCAAAAGCAACTCTGAAACAGGAGCTGAAGTGACTGAGATAATGACTCTCTAAACATGCATTAGTGTGAACTCATCTTTACATTAGGCCCTTTCACTTCAACAACCTTAAAAGGAGTTTGTCCTCATCCCTTTTGTAAATTTACCTCTTAAATTAGCTCACTGAAATACCATAATGCGACACTGAAAGTGGCATGGGAGAGATCAATACATTGTATATTTGTTCAATTTATTGTCTTATATTTGTATGTATTTAATTATGTATTTATATTGTGTTATATTTGTGTGTGTGTGTTTTATAGTATTTATCATAAGATTTTTGATAGATACACTACTGTTCAAATGTTTGGGGTCAGTAAGATTATTATTATTATTATTTAAAAATGTAATGGTTTAATTCAGCAAGGAAACATTAAGTTGATAAAAAGTGACAGTAAAAAACAGCAATTCCAAATGAATTGTTTCATGAATGCTGTTCTTTTGAACTTTTTTATTAATAAAAAAAATCCTTGAAAAGCATTATCACGGTTTCCACAAAAAATATTAAGCAGCACAATTATTTTCAACATTGATGATGATGATAAAAAATGTTTCTTGAGCACCAAATCAGCATATTAGAATAATTTCTGAGTAATGATCATGAGACACTGAAGACTTTGCCATCACACATTTTAAAGTCAAGTCAAGTTAAGTCACCTCTATCTGTATAGCGCTTTATACAGTACTGGTTGTGTATAGTTTATCAGTAATGCAAGAAGACAATAACAGAGTCGTTTTTCCAAATAAAGTCAGTAACATATACTATTTTAAAATATATTACAATAGAAGACAGTTATTTTAAAATATAATAATATTTCACATTATTACAGTTTTTACTGTATTTTTCATCAAAACAGCCCTGGTCAAGGTAGGCGTGCTGACTCTTAACTTTTATAAAGAATATCTCTTTGGATTTGAGACTTTAGTCTTTGCAACTTTACAGATCTTCTTTATGCACCAAGAGCTTGTAACACTCCAAAGAGAAAGGAAAAATTGAAATCGCATCATATGACCCCTTTAAACAATCTTATCGATGCCAAACTTTTAAATGGTAGTAAACCTAAAAAAAGGTTTTACCCTATACCTAGCCTGAATTGTAAAGGAATTAATCATCCATTCAAGCTGCTGATTTATTATTATTATTATTATCCAGAATAATGTGTTGAGTTTAGATATGCTTTTAATACAAACACTCAACAAGGTCAAGTGCTACAATCGAGAGATCCAACACTGCATTTGTTTTTTATCACAGCTTATCATACAGATACAGCTTGTTATAATAATTTCCTATATGCTATTCAGCAGGGGATTCATAGTTTATTGCCATTATATCACTTTTTTGAAAGAAAGAAAGAAAGAAAGAAAGAAAGAAATGACAAACATGCAGCTTAATCTCTTCTTAATACTCCAAAGCAAAGGTCAGCTGAGTAACTAACAGCCACATTGTGAGACTGAGACTTTCCACAGAAGATGAGAATGACTTCAAAATATTATTTTCACTTGTCACTTAACCTCACAAATAGTTGTATCAAGGTTAGAATGACCTTGTGAATGTCCCTCATGGCCATTTCAATTTACTCCAGGGCATAAGGAGGAGGAATACATATTGTGCTTTCCCCCTATAGTTTCCAATCAAGCCAAAGTTAGTGGCTGGTCATTTATAACTTTGACACAAGGGCATGACCACTGTCATCAGAAGCAGTGGGACATTTAAAAAAATGTCACAAGTGAAAATGGGTAAAATTAGTTCATGGGCCCTTTATGTGCTAATGGAATGAGTCAGCAAAATTTCACTCCTACAGAGGATATTACATTGAGTGCTTTGTGTTCATTCACATTATCCATTGTCATGTTATCCATGCTGTCAGCTCCTCCGAACATCCTCGTCACATGGCAGTGTGTCAGTAAAACAGCACATTTACTAGGGGGGGAAAGCAAATCATTACATTGAGTATTTTCCATTTATCTTTTCTGACATTTATATTTTGCCAGTGTGGGCAGAGCCTTAGGATGTTATTTGAATAACATTTCTGCACCATTGCCTCTCCCATCACACTCTGCATGTGGCCAATGACTTGATGCATTGAAAATGTCACAGGAAGTGGAGGAGGTTTATAAGCTATAGGGACTAGCTTTAAAGAATTAAACATCTGGAGACACATGTGAAAGATGTTTGGGGTGACATAAGTCCATTCATTTTATGAGAGGAGGTCTGTGTCGATAGCTGAAGTCATTTTATTTGCCTATTAGAGGAATAGCTCACCCAAAAATGAAAATTTGCTGAAAATGTACTCACCTTGAAGTCATCCAAGATGTTGAAGAGTGATTCTTCATTGGAACCGATTTGGAGAAAATTAGAAGCATTATATCACTTGCTCAGAAATGGATCCTCTGCAGTGAATGGGTGCCGTCAGAATGAGGGTCTAAACAGCTGATAAAAACACAATAAACCACAAAAGGACTCTAGTCCATCAATTAACATTTTGTAAAGCAAAAATCTGCATGTTTGTAATAAACAAATCTATCATTAAAGTGTTTTAACTTTAAACTATTGCTTCTTGCCAAAATATCAGTCCATAATCCATAATAACACTTCCTTACCATACCTTTTGTTCTCTCACATCAAAATCTACCAACACATTTGTTTAGAACTGTTTTAGACTGTTTTGGCTTGTAAATGGTGCTTGATCTGTTCATATCTCTCTCTTTATTCAGACAAAATGACTTTTTCCACTGAAGAAAGAAATATTATGTACAGAGGACTCGTATTTTAGCCGAAAACAATGGTTTGAAGTTAAAAATGTCAAAAATGATGCATTTGTTTCCTACAAACACACAGCTTCACGTTTGATTTGATTCACAGGACGTTAATTGATGGACTGGAGTCATGTCTTTTTTTATCAGCTGTTTGGACCATTGTAGAGCAAGTGATGTAATGCAAAAAAATTTCCAAATCTGTTCTGATGATGAAACAAACTCATCTACATCGTGAATAGCCTGAGGGTGAGTAAATTGTCATCAATTTTTTATTTTTGGGTGAACAATTCCTATTAGGCTCTTTAAAACCTTTGGGAAAAAACAGAAGGGTTTTCATTTTTAATCACTTGAACTGGTTTACAGGTTCTAAGTTACATTTTAATGCAGCGTGGCACGACTGCAGTTTTAGAGGAACAAAGGCCCCATAGGTAATGGCCTAGCTGTGCCTGAGGCCAACTGATCATTGCGTACTCTCTGCATCTCAATACTGTCACTGACATTTAATACACACTTTATAGTGCTTTATTATCTAGGTGCACATATTTGAATTTTATGCCCATATGCAAATTAAATATTTTTGACTTACCTAAAGCTTCTTTACGTGCCAAATGAAAAGAAGAACATATTAATCATTTTAGGAAGTTTGCATTATACTGAGCTATACTAACTTGTATTTAAATATAATTTACATTTTTGTTCATTCATTTCTTAAATGGTACATCTGAGGATTATATTGATAACCACATATCTCGAACGACTCTCCGTCGTCCGAGTGTTTCAGCGCTCCGTTTACGCACGAGCCCGGCTGCGGCTCCACGCTTCGCCTCCAAGTTCTGCTCACCTCGCCGTTCGCCTTCCTCGGGAACAGCGCTGGAGACACCGACAGGCATTTGTCCGCGATTTTGCCTTTCTCGGGTTTCTTCACAGTTTTCCTAATGCGAAACCTCGCCGCTCGAAATATCCGCCCGTAGAGGACCAGCATAAGAATGAGGGGGATGTAGAAAGCTCCAAAAGTTGAGTAGATGGTGTACCCGTGGTCTTGGCTGATTGTGCACGCGTCGGGATCTGCCCGGTCCTCTGGTTTCCTCCAACCCAGCATGGGAGGAATGGAAATGGAAAATCCTATTAGCCAAGTGAGGCTGATCAAGATAGCCGCTCGTCTGGGGGTCCTTTTATTCACATAGTCTATAGGATCAGTGATGGCCCAGTATCTATCCAAAGCGATTGCGCACAGATGCAAGATAGAAGAGGTGCAGCACAACACGTCTAGAGAGATGAATATATCGCACATCTCCTGTCCCAAAGTCCATTTGTTCAGAACCTGATACAGGGCTGCCATGGGTAGCACCAGAACCGACACCATGAGGTCTGTGACGGCCAGGGAGCCGATGAGATAGTTGGCCACATTCTGAAGCGATCTCTCCAAGGTGATGGCAGCGATGACACACGCGTTTCCCAATATGGCAAACAGAATTAACGCGGCCAGGAAAAGCGAGCAGATTATTTGGTAACTCAAAGCAACTTCGCTAACTGTCGTCGCGTTCCCGCTCCAGTCCTGGCTTTCTGTGGTGTTGTTGTAACTCTCCATGGTGAGAACGGTCACTCAGAAGCAGTCCCTTGCGCCGGTCACCTCGCTGCTCTGAAGACGCATGGCGGGCTCCGGGCTCAGGAAGTGCCGCACGCTCGAGCTGCGATCATTGGCGCCCAGTGACGAAGTGAATTCATTTATACGAGTCGTACTAAGTGCGTCAGAGATGGCTGAGAGGTTGGCGCGCGCACTTTGCAGAGCAGCCGTGCAAGCTTTACAGCGGGACAAAGTTGTCCTTTTGAATGCGAACTGTTGTAGTACATGCTCTGAGATATTCAACAGTTTCTGTTAGGAAAGTTGCGCTGGCAAATTCAAGGTGACAAAGGCACACTGTCAGCAAACATATTAAATGAAAATCGATTTTATTTCTTCACACAACCATCTGAAACATTTTTATATGTTTATTTTAGTTTTTGCAGTAACAAAGTCCTTGCACTTTTTCAACTAATTTGAATTTCGTTACAGATAAAAATAAAGTCAGCTTGAAATCTGAAACTTGAGAACAAATGAATGGATATAAGTTTAATGGTTGGAAATAAATATAATTATGACGAAATTATGAAAAAAATACTAAACAGTGCATATAGCTAGATCTGGTGAAAATTACAATAAATTGCAATAAATTAAAAATGTGTATACAAATAATGTAATTATTTTTTTAAAATATAGCCATTAATATGATCATTACACTGTAAAAAGTCGTAACCTGCCATTGTTGCCTTAAAGAGCCATTTTTACCTGTTTTAATTCATAAAAAAATAGTTGTGTTTGTATTAATGTATTTAGGTTGATTCAGTGATGCTAAATAATATATATATATTTTTAAATAAATTCAGTTAATTTAAAACCATTTTTAGGATAGGCTCTTTTTAGTATAAAGACAGTAATAAAGTTTTGAATATCACAAGCATTTGATGATTATTATATTTATTGTAATATAGTGTACACTATATGACTTTTGGTACAGCGATGCATCAGGAAAATGCTCTTTCAGCACCGCGGACAGTTCCATGTGTTCCCTGGAACGGAAATCTGCTGCCATCTGGTGAGAACATGGCAAAAAGATGAAAGAACGTAACGACGGCGTAATGCACGAGACGCCGTTTCCCAACGATTCACTCTTAACTCCATGCAGCATAGATTTTCCATCTCGCATCTCATTTAATGCTGAAAAGCTGCTGGAATATAAATAATACCAATGCATTATTTACAACTATGGCTATCGAGAAGCCAAAAACATACTCGGATGATCAATACAGAAAACATGTTCGATACCATTCGACATGCATTATTAATATTAACAAACATCACATCGTATAATGCTTAACCTATCATTATGCAATGACATTCAATTTGTATGTGTCTTTAAAAACATATCAAATATACAAGTGGTATGAAAAAAAAACCCTGAGCTGGTCAAGGAAAGGTTACATGTTCAAAGCTCTGCAAAGGATCACTATTGTACCCTTGGACGGCTGTTTGTCTGATAAAAATATAATATATATTGTTTCTTTGCTTGCCATTAAGGTTTTAAATATCTTTCACTGTTTTACATGTTTACAAGGTCAATGAAAATCAGAAATTCAATATTCAATCATTAATAATTAAATAATCTATTAATGATTCATATTTACAATGTGTTTTAATTTGCTAATAATTTAGCATTAACTTGTATCCATATCCAAAACCATTTGAGCAACTATTTTTTTTATCCACTGTAGTGTATATTGAATTAAAGTGAATTAAATTCTTAAAAACATATCATTAAAATAATCATGTATTTTAAAATGTTTGTAAAAAATTATATTATAATAATTATAATATTAAAATAAATAAAGCTTCAAGTAGAAACCACACATACAATACAAACTGTATAAAATGACCACACATTTCGTTTCAGTCAGCATGACTGTCATATTCCCATATGCTGCCGATTGTTCAGACAGAAAAAGAGCTGACAGTGTTTGTTGAAAAAGGTTGGTCTAGTTATTTCACCTAATTTTGCCACCCTTATAACACAATGCATGCATTGTGGGTAGTTTGAATTCTATAGGCCCCCAGAGACAATCGGGTCGCTGAACTGCCACTATTTAGGGGGCTTTACTTTTGTCAACAGTGCAAAATACCTCAGGGGGCCAGTATGTTCCTACTCACCTCTTCAACAATGAACTCTAATGTTTCCTGGCCTGCTACAGAGTTGAGCGTATTGGGGGGGCTTTCGGTTCAACAGTGAGTTGTCCGATCTGAGATGAACTCATGTGGAGAAGAGAACCTTGGGCGTACAGCTGAGGCTCTGTATTTGGAGGTCAGGCCTCTGCAGAGGGCCAACCTTGGAGTCAGACTAGCCCTCAGGAAGACGTTCAGTCTGGACCATATGAATGCATATCAAGAGGCTCATTACAGGGGGCGAAACTCCCCACGAGGATACTCTGATCTGCACTTTCCAGACTGTGATCTCCAGGCAGGACATATGCTGAGGTCCACAGCCAGCCAGCAGGCCTCCACTTCCCCATTCCATAGGACGAGTCCTCCTCCCTTTAACAGGGCTGTGATGCTTTCGAGGAGGTCTGATCTAGAACCCGTTAGGTCAGATATTATTAGAGGCTCACGCATCTCTCGTGAGGATCAGGAAGCAGGCGGCTCCTTCAACCGCAGAGCTCTTCTGATGTCTCTCAGCAGCTCTGAGGAGGAACAGGAGGCTGGAGAACAGGCTGGCAGAGCTTATATATATAATTATAAATAACATGTATATATAAAAATAGATAATTATAAATAAATAAAAAAGAGTTAAACCAAGACACCAAACTAGTAAGAGACAAAGAGAGTAAACTTGGAGGAAAACAAACTAGTAAGAGACAAAGAGAGTAAACCTGGAGGAAAACAAGTAACTATGATTTGCATGTTTAATAATAATAATAATAATAATAACATAGTCCTATACAGTGGGTATAGAAAATATTCACCCTTTTTATTTTATCCAGCTGTATTTACTTATAACTTGACTTTACTTACAACTTATAAGTGAAAGATATAACACCAACATGTCAGAAAGAAAAAAAAAACAGAATCACTGAGTAGGAAAAGGATCACCCCCTCCTAAAAATGACTTGTAAAATCAACCAGGTTTAGCTAATCACCTTCTCAATGGCACACAAAGCTGACTTTCAACTGTGATCAGCTGGTCATTTTGATGAACTCCTTCAACCGCAGAGCTCTTCTGATGTCTCTCAGCAGCTCTGAGGAGGAACAGGAGGCTGGAGAACAGGCTGGCAGAGCTCCAGCAGGGCTCAGCGTGGCTTCATCCCTGCTTACACCCACTCCTACTGGGGAACGCAGACTGGGTAAGAGAGAGAGGAAACGACTGAAGAGCCTGAGGAGAAGACAGAGGAGGAGAGAGCGCTGCAGACAGACCCAGCAGCAGGAGAATGTGCAGGTGAAACAGAAACGCAATCAAGTATTTACACACACCATGCATGCTGTTTGAGCTGCAATAGGACTGAAGCTTTTCTATCAGAATATTAGCTCTCTTCAGCTGCATTTCTAGACAAGTGAATGCTGACAGTAAATGAAGATGAAGAAAAAAAATAAAGAAAAAAAATAAACTAATTTGCAGATGTTAAGTCTTTGTCAATGTGATACAAATGAAAAAGACAAACAATGCAACAAATTGAAGACAATATTTTAGTTGTAATATTTTTCTGTAAAGTTAGTGCCAAAGATTAAATTATTATAGAAATTAATAACATCATTAACATCATTATCATCAGCTTTTTGTGAGTTGATGAAAAGCTAATCATTAAATAAATAATAATGGAAAATTAAAATAAATAAATTATTCTAAAATGAAAACAGTACAAATTCTCCACAAATGTGGCTTGTATGGAAGGGTTGCAAGAAAAAAGCCACTCCTCAAGAAAGACAACATGCAGTCACGACTGAGCTTTGCCAAAACACACCTTGAATATTCTGAAGCATATGACACTAAAATTGAATTATTTGGCCTCAACACCAAACGATATGTCTGGCGGCAATCCAATGCAGCTCATCATCCAAATAACAGCATTCCTCCAGTAAAGCAGCTTACCATCCAAATAACAGCATTCCTTCAGTAAAGCATGGAGGTGGTAATATCCTGTTATGGGAGTGTTTCTCTGAAGCAGGGACTGGAGCACTTGTCAGGATAGAAGGAAAAACGGATGGGGCAAAATACCGTCAAATTCTTGAGGAAAATCTGCTGCCCTCTGCCAGAAAGTTGTCAATAGGAAGAAGGTTTACCTTCCAACATGACAATGACCCGAAGCACACACGAAAAACTGACCACACAGTGGTAGAAGGAGAAAAAGGTGAATGTCAGAGCCCAGACTTAAACCCCATTGAAAATCTGTGGAATGACTTGAAGACTGCAGTCCACAAATGGTACAAAAACCACATTTAACTGAACTTGAGCAACGAAATGCGCTTATTTTAAAGGGGGGTGATTCTTTTCTATACCCACTGTATATTGATCTTTTGGTTTTGTCACAGTGTTTGTCTTGTTTTTAGACTGATTGTTTTCTACTTTGTAATGGACTATTTTTCTTCAAATATGTTTCTCAAATTAATATTTCATGATGGTTTTTTTTATTTTTTTTGCGAGAATGGTTAACTGGCTGTACATTATCTCTTACATATTCATATATTCGTATGTTATTCATTACTTCTTCCTTTTTTCTCTAGCACAATATAAAGCCACTCACAGATCATTAATTCAGAATTTTCATTTTCCAGCAGAGGGCATCTTTCAACAATCAACAGGTTCTGCATTAGTGATTCTGAATTCACAGCAATAAACTCAGTCATCAGCATTAATGCTCACTCTATCATTGATGTAAAATTTTAAGTAAAATCAAATTGATTTAATGATTTAAATCATTATTAAAATTAAAATGTATTTCTCTTCACAATTATTTTGATTATGCTTTAATGCACAACACCCCAAGAAGACTAAAATCAAAAACCACAGAAGAATGCTCTTAAAGCGCTGGTCCTATAATTCCTGGTTTTGGTCTGATTACTAGTACTCAAATGCAATGACGTCTTTTTCTCCTTCATTTGTCATTGTCCACTGGCTAGAAGTGGGATGGGTTGTGATTTGGCAGATGAAGTAAGGACCCTTCATAATACAGTGACGAGAAAGAGAAATCCTTCTTTTTCATTTCAGTGGTATTAATTCTGGTGGAAGGCTGTATATTTTCCCTTTGGCGTGCACACACTTCAAGTGTGACATACCATATCAATTAAAGTACTATAAAAGCTATCTTTATTTATTTATTTATTTATATAAAAGACGAGGGGTTCTGACTTTATTATAGGCGTTAACAGGTTCAATGTGAGATGTTGATGTTAGAATTCTGGTGTCCACAGGAAGAGTTCCTGGGTTGTCAAGTGGGATGTGGAGGCTTATATGAGATGTGTATTTGGTGATAATGACATACCTAGGGAACAAGGGGCATGGGCTCTGGAGGTCCCCATGGGTGGGAGAGATGTACTTATGCAGACAGGCCTTGTGTATCAGAGGAGGAGTCATGTGTGGGACACGCCACACACCCCTGTGGGCTGCCTGTAAGACGATCCAAAACAGGACACTTCAGGAAATCTTATTGTGTGCTTGATAGTCCAACAAGCAAGTGTGTTAAAAGTCAAGTTAAAACACTGTTTATATCAACCATCAGCATAACACTGCAAGCGATGCTCCCTAGTAAAGGTGAAGCTCAGCAGATTGTTGAGTTTAATAGCAGCACTGAGTCATCTCTTCTCTTCTCTCACTCTGCTGAAGAGCTCTACAGGGAACCCATCTAGCAGCAGTGAGGATGAGGAGCTGCCCGGCCGGGATCGTGAAGGCTACATCTGTGCTGTGTGTCTGGATGTCTACTTCAGTCCATACATGTGCCATCCCTGCAGCCACGTCTTCTGTGAGCCTTGTCTGAGGACGCTGGCCAGATTTTTAAACCTTTGTGTGCTTAATAAAGTTGCTAACAAGTTGCTGCATAACAAATAAGAGGTTAAATGCACTAAAACCCATTAGAAATTCCCAAGGGAACCCATTAGCCTTCTGGGTTGGCCTTTAAACTGTTCTGTAAGACAAAGATTAACAACGAGGAGGGAAGAAGTGCTGTGAGAATAGAGCTTAACCTCAGATCTGAGGGAGAAAGTTCATGACAGTGAATAAAGTAGTCTTGAATCAAAGGACCTAAGAGTGCTGGCATGTAAAGATGGAGGAACTCAGAAAGATGGGTCAGAGAAGGTCAAAAGAAGAATTTTGTATCTTAAACTATATATTTATTGACTGCTGAATATACTGAATATTTGAATATACTGTAGTCTGCTAATAGTTTTGCAGAGTAGGCCTAGTGCATTGCATTAATCAAGACGTGCAGTGATAATGCAAGGACAAAATCATCTTTATGGCTAAGGATGTGGCATAGAGATATGTTATGAAGATATTGTTAGCAATGGAACTAATGTGGGCTTCAAATGTAAGGGAAAGATCAAATGTAACATCCTTCCCTCACATTACGGACCTTTTTAGTGGGATTGAGCACAAGAGTGAGCGCCTACATTTTTCAGACTCTTTTGGAAGTACTTTTTCCATTTATGTTGTCCATAGGGATTTAAAAACATTTTCTTAGTGGGAAAATGAATGGGATTTTTCATTCCAGTTGCACTCTATGGTTTTTCATAGTGATTGAATAGAAATTAAGCTCTTCTATTGATTTCAAATGACATTAAATATGGCAGAATCTGATGTGAGAAACAAGCTGTATGAGATATGATAAATCTATTTGGGCTTTCTTAAAGTAATGCACATTGCACTGAGCACACTAATGATTCACAGATAAATAAATTCACACATCCAACTCTCTTCACAGAACTGAACCATACAGCCCGTACGTTCTTCCCAAAAGAATACCTGTCTCGGAAACAGAGTTTCCAGAAAGCGGGCTGTGCAAAATGGCCTCTTCCAAGCTGCCGTAAACAGTTTCGAATTTTTGGAGGTAAAACAATTTTTACATCTATTTCACTGATTTCCCTCCTAAATAAACTTTGCAGATTCAGTTGTTATTCTTCATATGGTAGTAATGCTCATTGTTCTTTGTCTTGCTCTTTTTCTCTCCCATTCTCTATATATCTTATATGTCTTTCTTAGGCTTTCAAAGGCAGGCAAGTCCAATCGGCAGACGCCAGTTCCCTCACGGGGGCTACCGGCTTGATGCCTTCAACTTTGAAGATGATTCGCATGGTTGGCGATTTGACATGGACATGGTGATCATCTATATATACTCCGTCAACTGGGTCATTGGCTTCATTATCTTCTGCTTCTTCTGCTATTTCTTCTGCCTCTCTTTTTAAAGAGAAGGCACAGGGAAGCTGTCTGCGGTGTTTCAGATCTTTCAGGACAATACAAAAGTCGGCAAGAAGGGAATCATGCGCTGCAGCTGCTTCTGGACTATATGTAGGAAACACCAACCAATCACAGAGAGAAATGAATTCATGCAGCCAAAATTCCAGAGCGTGATGATCCATTTACTGTAAAGATGGATCATGATTTTTGAGATTGTGGTTTGTCTAATATCTGTTTGCTTTTAAACAGAATTTTGGCCGACTGCGTGGGGAAGCTTTGCATGGATAATCACACGAGTGGACTATTCATTTCACTACAAGTTGTATTCACATGCTGTATATCCAGAGTGAATGCATTTGTGAAGGTCTTCTCTTACAGCTAATTTCCAAAGTGCAACGTTCAGGTTTGTAAACTAAACTATCCATAATTACAGGCCAGCTTCTAAACTATCCATAGATTATGCTATGCTGAGTATAAGAATATCTCATTTGTTTTTAACTATTCTTGCTTGTTTTTACAGTATTTCTAAACTGGCCATAAAGGTTCTTTGTCTGGTCTCAATACCTAATGCTCAGTATGTTGTCTTAGATCTGTAATTAAACCATTATCCTGTCTAATACAGACTTTTGCAATACTATATATATATATATATATACACTCTAAAAAATCCTGGGTTAAAAAGGGTCAAACCCAGCTATTGGGTTGTTTTGACCTAGCGGTTGGGTTGTTTTGAACCCAACCACTGGGTCAAAACAACCCAATAGCTGGGTCAAAACAAC